AAAGTCACTCAGTTGGTTCCATGGCCAAGCAGGAACTAGAACCCAGATCACCTGAATCCCATTCGTATGCTCTGAACAACTATACCACACTTGCTATTGACTCCTTTAAACTCAATCAGCATGCGCTAACAAAATAATGCATTACATAGCTACAGATAAAATAAAGACAGTGTGACTTGTTAGCCTATTTACTATTTAGTTAACAAACTTTAAATAAGAGTTTCATTTTGATTTGCTCAGTGTAGTTGTAAGGCTTTCAAATATGAACAGTGTATAAGTGCTAAACAGTTTACTACTCTGAAGCTTCATCAACTTTATATCTAGAAGTCAGGAATGCCTATGTAAGTCAAAAATCCCCAAGAGGAAAGAAAGATAGCTCAGTTCTGATAGGAGGGCACACAACAGAACCACAGCCACTGATGCACACCTTTCTGGAGCTTCCCATATGCTCAAGAAGGTATTTCCTACACACACCACACAGGCTCCTACCAAAACAATAAAATAATGTTTTAAAGTAATGACTGATACAAAGTAGTGTTCTGCCTTTTTCAGTCTTTTAAAACAAAATAATAATAAGGATACTTGCCACAGTGAAAATCTGTAACATTATCGTCAGATCATGTAAGTCTTTAATAACATATGTAAACACATGCATGCAGAATGGAAACAATTAAATAACTGTGCTTTGGTTCTTCACTGATTAATATTATTGCAGTTTAAAAAATACAGCTCAATTTTAATCCTAAAGAAAAATTCCCATGAAGACAGTTTATCTGGTTTTACTAGTATCTCCTTTAACATAAACAAGAACAAAGAAAGGAAAACAAAGAACTTGCCAAATGTACAATTAGATTTTAGGCTGTTTGTTATGCTAAGGTGCCCGTATCTTGAATAAAAGATGTAATAAGATTAATAAGTGCAAACTCAGGCCAATGTATTCAGTATAACATTGCTCAGAAAATATTACATAACTCTCCATTTTGGCTTGAAGACTCCTCAAAGCTCTTATTTTCAAAATCTCAATGTTATATATCCTCCCTGTGTGAGCTTCATTGTAGCAGAGAACTTCAGCTTATGCCAACATGTCAGTAACAACACCAACAAAAGAAGAGCGCTGAAGACAATGACCATTGTAATAGCAGCTGTCTTTCTAAATGACTTTAATTCTGCACGGCAACTTGTACTTTTTACAGATGGGAAGGCTTACTCTTATTATGAAGTAAATCCTGTGAAAGGAAGTTTAAATTTAATAGGAAAAAATGGAGTCTCAAACTCTTAAATTTCCATTTTAAACTATTTTACTAAAATAATATGTTTATCAGATATCCTCGCTAACAGATTATTTCAGCCAAAACTGTTGCATTATCCCATTACAAAAGCACAACTAGCATCTTTGATTTTTAAGTAAAATGTCTGTATTGAAAATTTAAATGTTTAAGTAGTGATTATATAACTTGTAAAGTACTCTAGCAGGAGCATGACTGCAGAAGAAAAAAGTGATGACCATACAAGTAATATCTAATCTATTAAATATACTATGTAAAATCAAAAATCATGTAATAAAGTTTTAAGATAGTACAAAATATATTTGCAGTGCTGAGATTCTGATATTTAAAATTAAAGTTTGTCTGAAACATAATCGCTTGTTAGGTTGCTGTGGTTAAGGAACGGTAGTTTCTAAAGCAAAAGATCACACAAAGGAATACTAACTTCCAGAAGAGTGGCATCTTTTTTCTGCAGAAGATATAATGATAGTCATAGCACCTTATAATCTGGCAAATCTGTCACAAGCTTTCATGGACAAATGTTCATTTTATTAGATGCATGAAGTGCACTCGGCAAGTATACATTCATATGGGTATAATGGAAGAAAAATGATTAAAGATAGACTTTGATAGTAATGAAATGCAAATAGTATAGTCTGACAATTCAATTAGAGCTTAAGCATATGCAAAATAAGTACAGTGAGTCTCATAACTGCATTAATGGAGGATAATGCCATCATCTTAGCATTACCTAGTGAATGAACACCTGTAAAAAGTAAGATACCACTGTATCTATTCAGACCAAATGAGCAGAGACAAGAATCGTTATTAATTTTAATTTAGCTATGTAACACTTGGATTTTCTTTGAAGAAAAAGGATACTATCTGTGATATCAAAATAATTCTTAGTATGAATACCCAACATACTTAAAAATCCACTAGCAATCTAACAGGGTAACCAGTCCTTGCATTCCAGTCCAATCCTATGCATGGGATTTGCTTCCTAGTAAAGATTTAGGACTGCAACCTGAATCTATAACTATCAGAGAGGTAGATAGCTATGTTACTACTGCTGCAAAACAAAGAGTCCTATGTAACTCTAAAGACTAACCTATTTTATTAAGGCATAAGCTTTTGTGGATTAGAGCCCACTTAAAAAAAAAAAACAGCTGATTTGGGATGAATAATGTATTCCTTGCTGCAAAAGTCACCTGAATCAACACAATTACTTTTAAAGGAAAGTTGAATAAAGAAATCAATCCTTTGTTCACTGTGAATTAAGTTTTCTCTCTTAATGAACCATGCATTCTCAGTTTTACTGCAAATTGTGTCAAACATGATAGAAATCACAAGATTACTACTACTGACCAGATTTGAGGTGTTGTTAGATTGGCACAATTAAAAATTCAATCAGACAAATATAGTCTTTAGCTCTTAAAATTTCAAATAAGCTTATAGGAATATTTTTTAAATGTTTATAGGCTGCTTTCCTGTAAGAAATGAGGCAACCTAAAATAAAATGAAACCAACTGACTAGAATATCTGCAATGCATTTATAATGGTTTTATATCAGTTTAACAGCCACAGTTTCTCCCAGGGTGCTGAATATTCAGTTCAAATTCCTGTAAGCCACTCAGGAGAACTACAGGTCCAAGGGCTCCATGGGAAGTAAAAATAATATTAAGCAGTTTCATCCTAAGAACTTTTAGCCAAGAACAATTTTCCATGAAATAATTTGAATTTAGTTGAACATTTTCAAAGTTGGTTGCAAAATAATTGTATTTCCTGAGACATAGGGTTTGCCATCAAGCATTTCCCACAGAAAGGGATTGTTCAGTGAAAATAGCCAGGTGAATAGTTTGGGAGGGGGGTCTTATTCAACTTTTACCAGTTTTATGTATTTTCATACACTTCAAGGATGCAAGCTGATTACAGACCAGATGAAAATACAATGTCGATGAAAATACATATTACATGAACAGAGTCAAAGTTGTCAAGACAACCAATAACCCTGGATACCTTTGCAACAGTACTGACGAGCAGAAGCATTGAATAGATCAGCTTCTGCCTATATATGCAGAAGAGAAAACGCCATCACTATGCAAGATGAAATAGCTGGCCTTCCTTGAAAGCAGCGCCAGCAAAGGCTCGGGCAGGAAGATTCTCTGGACGGTGCACTGAAGACGAGTGTGCTGTTTGTGTTCGAGACACTGTCGCTCCCTCCCCTACGCAAGGATAGCTCAGGGAGCAGGTGGAGAGGGGATTAGACACACACCCTCAGTGCCATACGGGAGGAGGATGTAATTCTCCATGTATGCTGGGCGAGGTAGAGAAGAGGCAGAGTCCTCGTCCCCGCGCGCCACATTAAACAAAATGAGACCCATGCAGAAAGGGAGGTGGAGCGATGCTTCACCCCTCCAAACATATGCCCACACTTTCACATTCTGCACCAAGTCACAAAGACATCGCGAAATCGATGCCGCTTGCAAAGCGGCCCCGAAGAGTTGGCAGAGGCGGCGGGAGCACGGGGTCCCTCCGTCCCGACCGCCACCAAGCGGTCTGCTGCTAGGCCGCCCGGCCTGGACGGACGGCGCCACCGACCAAGCCGCGAGCCCCGCGCGACGACGGAGGCGCCGCCGCCGCCGCCGCCGTCCCCTCCCCCCGGCCAGGCGCACGCAGCAGCAATGCGGCTCCCCAGGCTGCGCTCGCACCCAGCGACAGGCAGGCAGGCAGGCAGGCAGGCAGGGCCTGATCGGGGACCGGCAAGGGGGACTCCGAGGGCCGCGCCGCCGCCGCGCAGACACAAAGTTGCAGAAGTTAAAAAGCCTGCTCGGCCGCGGGCGCGAAGAAGCCGCCGCGCGCGCGCCCCCGCCCCGCCCCCTCCGCCCTCGTCTGACGCGATTGTCACCCAGGCAGCCCGGCTCCTCCGCTGGCTCTGCATCCGCCGCCCCTCGCCGGAGGGACCCGCTCCCCGCACGCTCGCCGGCCGCCCCCGGCTCCCAGCGACGCGACGCGCCGCTCACCCTCGCCCGCCGGAAAGAGCGCGCCGCGCCGCCCCGGCCCCATTGTCAGCCACGCAGCTGCCGCCCCCGGAGGCCTCTCTGTCGCCGAGCGGCGGGGCGCGGGGGCGCGACGCTCCCTCTCCGCCAGCAGCCCGTCCCCCGCCGACAGGCCTCGCTGCCCTCCGCCGAGCCCCTGCTCCCTCGCTCCCCCTCCCTGCCCAGCACCCCTCGACGGCCGTGCGCGCCTCCCACCCCTTCCAGCAAGACGGGCGAGGCGCCACCTTCCCCTGGAGGAGAGGCTGCGGGAGGGGGCAAACTTCAAGCGCATCACGGGTCCCTTCCTCGGACTGCATGCACGGGAGCGGGGGGCGGCCGCACAGCCGCCCTCGTGGACGGGCAGCAGGCGCCCGGGCGGCCGCTGACACCGCCGCGTCCTGCCTGCGGGCGAAGGCAAAGCCCGCAACTTGCCTCTTCCCGGAGGGGGGTGGCGGTGGCGGTGGCGGCGGCGCCGGCGCCGGCGAGGACGAGTCGCGCTGCCCCTTGCCCCCGCCCCGGTTCAGACGAGCAAGTCCCTCTCGCCGCCTCCCCAGCGCCCCGCGCGCAACCCGGACATTATCCGGCGCGCCCGGGAGGGTCCCTCGCCTACCCACCGCGGTCTGGCCCGCCAGCAGCCCCGGGGCCCGGGCGGGGGGGGAGGGGGCGGGGAGGACGCGCGCCGGGCGCCTTCATTTACCGAGGTCACTCACGTCTCCGGCTCGTGTCGCCCAGGCTGCTGCCAGTGCTGACCTTCGCTTTGTAGGAGGAAGCCGGAGCTGCCGACTCTGCCGCGGCCGCCATGTTCCCGTTTTAATCACTGGCTACTTGTTTATTTCAATGGAGACCCTCCCACAGCTCACCGCCCTCCTCCTCCTCCTCCTCCTCCTCCGCCGCTCCGCAAACCTACCCGGCGCGGAAGGAGGGACTGGGAGGGCCGAGGCGCAGAGAGCAGCAGCGCCGCCGCGCCACTCCCCGCCTCCGCCAGGCGCAAAAGTGGCCGCAGCGGCGAATCCCCTCGCTCGGCAGGGAGGCGGACGGGGCGCGCGTGCGCGCGCCGCCGTGCACGCAGACGGGCGCGCGCGGCTCGCTGCCGGGGGGGGCGTCGGCGGAGGAAACTTCCCTCGCCACAGTCCCGCTGCGCGCCCCAAACGCTGCCCCTCCACCTTCTGGAGCAGAAGACAAACGAGCTCGGGCCGAGCATCAGCTTGAAATAGTAGCAAACACACCCTCTCTAAACCAGCACTGGAAGAGCAGCCTTGGAAGTGATGCTATTGTATCATTAACAAAAGGAGACAGACAGGCAAGGAATCTCAGTCATTCTCATCGGACCGGTGGGGAGGGGGCAACAAAAGAAAACAATGAGGCGACATACGCATTATACCGTATCTTATTTCGGTATGTTATTATTATGGTTTACGATCGTATAAACATCGACGTCCGCTGTGCCAGCTACGGAACACGTGAGGGTGGGGTGTGGGGAGAACGAGAGATTGATACATTTGTAGAACTGCGTAAAACGATTAGTCATACACAACTGAGAAGTTGTTTCGTTCGGTTTCCTTGCATTTTCAAGTACAGAAACGACGACGGCTTGCAACGTTGACCTCGCCTTCCGTGTTTGTTAGGCGCTTCTCGACCACTGGAAAGCTGCTGCTGCTCCTACGGGGATGACACTGCCCAGGCAGGGGCACCCAACCTCTGCCCGTCCCCCAGTCTGGTCTCTTGCGATATTGGCTTTTTTGGCACTTTGACGAAGAGGTTTCCTTTACTGGGAAAAGGGACGTGTGCCTTGGTGGAGAGGTTACTTGAACATTGAAACTCATAGTAAACAAACTTCACAGCTGCGGAAAAGTTCGAGAGAGCCTAGCATAGGAGAGCCCAGTAATGGCAGGTTTTTTAGTGCTGGGATTTTCTTCGTTTTATTTATATTTTTTATTTATTTAAAAATTGCAGGTACAGGGGAACAATTTACAGAGTACATATTAAGTTTATCAGAAGAAAGGTATTCCAAAATAACATATAAACACGCAATTGTGTACTACTGGAAATGGCTTTGGGACTATTTATTAGAAAAATAGTAATACCAATAATTAGAAAATAACCAACCAAGAAACTAAAAGTATCAAAGTAATCTAAAATTAAGCATTTAAACATCTTTAAAAATATAAAACTTTATTTTCTAGGCCAGTGCAATTCTGAAGGCTGAACTTTCTGTACTAATCTGTAGTCAGTGTAAGCTAAATCTGAATCAACTTTATATTGTTTTAGTACTCAGTATGAAAAAATGATTAAGTGCAATGCCATAAAAATTAAAAAGGGGCAGGAGAATATTTGTGGTTGGTCAGTTGGTTGGTTAGACTAGTGCATTTGTGCAACAAAATGGTTCACCAGCAGCTTCAGCAAAATACAAATAAAAATCAGTATCATAAAATCAAATTACATTGCAAACCAGCAAGTAAAAGTGTTAAACCCAGAACTCTCAAAGCTGTGGAGAACAAGCAACTCTTTTCCTACTGCCAGGACTGTGGATGCCAGTGGTACAGGCCCCTGGGGGAAGAGTTCCATGAACAGGATGCACTAAATGATGAAATTATGGAAACACCATCTCCATGGTTACCACACACCTCACCTCAGATGGCAGGGGCATGGGGACAAGCCCCTGTGTCAGTGACCTCAGCTAATGGGAATGAGCTGTATGCATCCGCACTTGTTATTATGGGCACAGTCATTTAGCAAACAGGATGTTCAAGTGTAAACAAGAGCAACATTTTAGAATGAACTAGCTTTTGCAAATAAAAATTTGAAATGGTAGTGCCCGTTAACATCCAGAATTTAAGTTGCTGGAATTTGCAACTGTCAGTGTTGATAGTTTTATCCCCTAAAACAATGGTATTGAAATCGATACTAATGGACTCAATCTGGCCCTCTGGAATTTCTAGTCAACCCTTTTCTTTCCCCTCCCCTGCCCTGGCCACCTGATCTTGGTAGTTTTGGTGTAGTATGGAGTACCTTGCTCATTCTAAAAGTTTCAGTACATTTCCTAGGGCTTAGCAATAAAAGCTTTAAGGGTTGGAATTTGGGCACCAACCCTTTGTCTGTGTTGCCACCCACCACTGGAATGCAGTTCAGGCTGAAAGATGTCAGGCACTCCTGCCCCAAGATGTCTTAGACCTTCTATATGATGTCATTCATAATTTTGTATGGTAGTAAATCCTGCCTAGTTCAGCTAAGTTTCTTTAGTGAAAGGCCTTGCTTTTCTAGATATCTGTGTTTGCAAGTGAGTCCTGCAACATCTGCTGCTGCAGTGAATCTTCCCTCCTAAATGACTATTTCTGCTCAGAGTTCTAACCAGGGCTCTCCAATCCCCCTCCCCCTTCCATTTTTCTTTTCTCGTTGCCATTCTGTGGCTATTGAGCAGGCTCAGTCCACACTTGTGTTTTTGCATGCATTCTCTCTCTCTCTCTCTCTCATACAAAGCATGGCAATATTTCTTGTTTTTCAGTGGCTCTGTTTTGGCTATAATCCTGGTAGCACTCCCCACCTGATTTTACTATTAGAAGGAATGCTGTTACTCTTTATAAAGCATGATCCAAATAGCTACTTGTATGAGCTCAATGGCTACCACTAGCCCAGTGATATTTTTAACCTGTTTCAGAAAGCACACACCCATACTGTATTACAAAGCATGTTCGAAGTTCTGCTCAGTTTCCAAAGTAAATTATCATGTGTAGCTACAAATCAAGACCTTTCTAGGTGTAAGCAGGCCAGTTCTTTGGATACTGGCCATAGTATTTGTTTATTAATTAATGATTTACTGTCCAATAAGTAAGCTCTCAGAGCAGTTCATGAAACAAAACTTGGAACTATAAAATAGTAATATAATAAGGCATATTTATTGTTATACCTCTTCTCAGCCAAAATGTCTCCTGGAATGACTTACAAATAATTAATAAAAGTAAACAGCTCCTGCCTACAGGCTTGTACTTTCAAAGACGTGGCACACAAGGAAAAAGGAAGAGGGAGGGAAGGGGCACAGAATGAAGTTTTTTCATTGGGCAGTGGAATGGATGCTTTTCCCCTCAGCTGGTCCTGCTGGAGTATAACAATTGCTGGTGGAGACAACAGAGGGAGGAAGGACTCTCATAAGAAAGGCCTTCTATTGAGCTGATGGATGGGTGCTGCACTTCCTGTCATCTCTCTCAGCTTACAAGAACCTAAAGCCATTCTTCACAAGTCCTTCTGCACAAGTCCTTTGCGCCTTCCTAGAAGCCAAACATTTTGTTGGAGTTTTATCTTAGATGGCTAAGATAACAGACAACAGCAACTCTTTGAGGGAGGCAGTCTCTTTTACCCTGGTGCAGAGCTATTCTTGGCAGGTTGTATCTGTAAACAAACAAACAAACAAACAAGTAAAGACAAATATTTACTGTAATGTTCTAACTATTGCTTGTGAGCATTTTGGAAAGACAACTAAACACTCTAAACAAATATTTATATTTTAAAGACCTCTAAGCCTCTTTTCAATCAAAAGTTTTGTGGTGAACCCATATGGTTCAAGTGACAGAAGCTACAGCACGAGTGAAATACTTTCTGTTAAATGTTGGCTTAGGAGAGCATTGAGCAGCAGCTTTGGGAAATAATCACACACAAAAGTACATATGCTAGCATCAACTTTTAGGATTAGAATTCCAGAGTGGCAGTTAAGACCTGTTCACTTATGGTGTACCAAGCTGGTACTCTATTCAAATTTTGGCATTCTGTTACTTCTTGCCTGCTCTAGAATGTATTGCATTCACATCATTCTCAAATATCATCACACACAATTCTTATCAGTTGTACCCAATGTTAATCCTATTTAGAGTAAACCCACAGAAATAACTGGGACTTTAGGTAGTCATGACTTAAATTAATTTCATCTACTCTAAGTAGGACTAGTATTTAATATAATCCTATGTTCACGTGTGTCCCCATATATTTTTCCTCATTCTGGGTAAGCTGATTCTGAAGATTTAGAAGAGCTATTTAAACGCTTTCAAAACTGTTTTGCTCTTTCTGAAACAGGATGTTCTTCTGTTTCCTGTTGTAGGATATAAGCTCAAATTTGTACTGAATCAAGATATTTAACATGCTTGACAGAATAGTTACTGTCAGATGCACCCTTATGCTCAAACACTATGTACACTTGTAGGATTCAAAAACAAGATTTTTTTTTAAGGAGCTGTAATTACAGATCTCATTGCAACAGTCCCTAAAAGAAAGTGATATGTCACGATGCAGTTTAACAAGGGCACTAAAAGCCTTTTGCTGATGTAGCAGTGTCACTCATCTTTTAGTGTCCTTTAAACGTTTTTCAGGTGTCACTTAAGCACATGAGAATGTAAGAAGAACTATATCTGATTAGTCCATCTAGCTGAGTATTCTGTTCACACAGAAGCCAACAAGCTGCCCACAGGAAACCCACAAAGGACATGAGTGCTACTGCATCCTCCTAATTCACATGCAGCTTGCACTCGGCTGGGTGCTGGGTTTAAGTGAACCGATCACATGGGCATAGCCAGTCAAATGTGTCTTACCCTGCAGTTACATTGGAGAAAACTATACATGATTGCTCCTGCTGGTCGAGTTAGACACAGGCCTTGAAATTACAGGCTGTAGAATTGCACTTGCTCTTTTTTTCCTCAGAGGTTTAAAAAACACCCCACCACACACAAAAAAGTGGTTCTGTGCTGATCTTGAAAGGGTGACTGTATATTTAAAACTCAAATAGAATGCGTGGATGCTAGTAAATCCTTTTTTAAATGAATATCACGATCTTAGGTGTTGTTTAATTAATTAACTAGTTACACTAGTTATGGCTGATGGGAGTTGCATGCCAAAACATCTGGAGGCCAGCCCTGGAAGATGCCTGGAAGATGCCATAGTGAGGCTTATGTCAGAGTAGGGATGTATAGGAGTAGTTTTAGTAGCATTATGGGCTGCAGTAGTATAGCTACTTCCCTAAACATAAGCCTCATTGATTTCAGTGGGACTTACTTCTGAGGAGACATGCATAGAACTAGTGTTATAGCAGAATTGCTACTTACTGGAACCCTAGAAGGACAGACTTAACTTATTCCTTCCAACTACATATGTTGATACAAGCCACTCTGTGCATATTTGCAACTATGCAACTTGAAAGAATCAGGAAGATAGATGATAGACAGGTGGACAGACAGATAGCTGTTTGCTTTCCTGCTGGTCAATGGTGGAATATATTGGTTGTGTATGTCCAGTCTCAGCATGCAATGAATACATAATATTGCTCAGTTAATGCTTTTCACTAGTTAGGTGCTTTTAAACAACAAAAAGACTTAAATAAATAAATCAATCCACAGCAAGCTAGGTTTGCTAAATATCATGTATACTCTGCTGGTTGAGTATGATGAAAGTCTAATATTTCTGATATATATTTTTCATAACAACTTGTAGTAAATGTGAATATTTCTTTTGCTTTTTAATATGTATATACATACATGCTGTTCCTAATATAGTTGTTGGGGATTGAATTCTTTCAGCTACAATGCATCAGAAACTACAATACCAAACCTTCCTTTTTTGGTTACTGAGAGTACAAGGTTCCTCATTTGCATCTACCACTTTCACAGTGTTAAAGATATCTTCCATTTAAGCATTAAAAGTTTTAATGCTAGTGTCAAATAGGCTTCCTTCTGTGCATGCTACAGGATCGTGTCTGTTTTTCCTTTCACCCAGGCTTTATACTGATAACAGCACTTACTGTTTGATCCTGAGCTAAGTATCCTACTGAATTTCTGGGCACTAACTTAGATAGTGATGTGGCAAATACTGCTATAAACAGGAGTATGATTTTTATTTGTGGATTTGTACTTTAGCAATGGTTATTATGATAAATTGTGTACTCCATCTTGGAATTTATGAATGAAGGGTGGTATATACAATTTAAACAAATAAGTAGTATTTGCTATTTAGTATGCAGTAGATAACCAGCCAATGAATTGACTGATCATATATCAAGTACAGTTGCATCTTAGACCAAGGCTGAAATCTTGTGCATTAAGCCCCATTGACTTCAAGCACCTTGAGAGTGTACAGAATTGTGCATTAATTGTGAAAAGCAGTGGTGATGGGTAGTAAGATTGCTCGGGCTTTAGGGATACAAGAATAATAGGAATTCATGCTGAAAAACTGTCAGATGGTTCCTGATCTCTTGCTCATCAACTAAACTCTAACCACTGTGGAACAGTGCATTATATTTAAAATGGTTATTCTTTGGGGCATGCTTTCATTATCTCAGTAGACACAACCTCCTAAGGCTTCTTAATTACCAGTAGTATGTATGCTCAACCTTGTACTTTATGTAGATAGAGGACTTTTCCCTTATTGTTTCCCTTTAGTATAGATTCCAGCTTGAGTCAAGTCAAAACACAGATGAGATAAAAGAACTAAGAATGAAAAGACTCTTGGTTAAATTGGCAGTTTATGCTGATATTATCTTGTCTTGCCAGACATAATTTTTTCCAGCAAGTTTTAAAATGATCTAGTGTTGTTCTTATGAAGCCAAATACCCACTACAGATATGTTCTTGATTAAAAATAAAAGATAGAGGGGCACCAAAGTTCTATGAATTTTGAAATAATGTGGGAAAAGGTTGACTATACTGCATCAAAAACAAAAGCAAGGATCCAAAGAAGGGATCTTACAGTTCAATGATTGTGGGGGGGGGGGGGGGGGTCTGTGCCCTCCTTATGTTCTTGGTCTACAATCCTATCATCCAGTTAGCTCTCCTAACATCTGAAGGCCAGAGGTTTTCTTGCATTATCCCAGTTCCACAGGACCAAATAAACATTGCATTTGTTTCTGGAAAGGTAGCTCTAATTGACACACTGTTTCTAAAACACTGTTTCTAAAACAGTGTGATCCTAATCATGTCAACCAGAATTTACTATTACTGAGTTCAAGGGGAATGTCTCCCAAGTAAGTGAATACTGTATAGGTTTACAGTCCTTCAAATGCTGCATGTGAGAGAGTCTGGTGATCTCTAGCTGAATGGTATGGTAAATCTTTTAAAACCGAAAAATAGAAGATCAAGAAATATATTTTAATTTTTGCAGGTTTTCAGTCACTAAGTTTAAACTAGCACACAATTTATTTTTCTGTAGTTTTGTTCATTTTTTATAAAAAAGAAACATGGTCATTTTATTGTTTCAGCATCAAACATGCAACAAGTGAATGGAACATGACAAGTGAGCTCTGCTGGATCAGTCCCAGCATAATCTAATTTATTATTATTTCTTCAACGGTGGCAGCCAAAGATTGAAGGTAATCATACTTACTTTTTTGCCACCAGCATCTAGTCTTCAGAGGTATACTGCCTCTGAATAAGGACATTCTACTGATTAATAGACATTGTTAGACCTATCTGCCATGAATTTGTCTAATTTTTTAAGGTTATCCAAGCTAGTAGTCATCTGCATATTCTGGGGCAGCAAAACCCACATGATAGTATGAAGCACATCTGTATGTCTATTTATAAATCTTGAGCCTCTTGCCAGTCAATTTAATTGGGTTACCTCTGAACTCTTTGTACATGTCCCTCCTTAGTCATCTTTTCAGAGCCTACTAGGAGATGCTCAAAGGACTGTTTGATACCCAAGAATATGAATAGCAGAAAAGTGGCACAAGCCCATCTTTCTACACAGATGCTTCAAATACAATTCCTCTTTGTGCACATAGTTTCCCCCCTTTTCTAGGTCTCTGAAACACAGATAAAGCTCTAGTATTTCTCCTGTTGTTTGAGATCACTGTTCCTGATCACTGTTTATGGATGTGAAAGCTGACCAGTGAGGAAACCTGACAGGAAGGAAATGGATGCATTTAAAATATGCTGCTGGAGGAGAAGAAAATACCCTGGACCCATAGAAAGATGAACAACTCAATCTAGAACTTTCCCTGGAAGCAAAAGGACAAAACTGCAGCTGTTGTACTTTGGGCACATTATGAAAAGGCAAGAGTGACCAGAAAAGAAAATAAAGCTAAGGAAAGTTGAAGGCAGAAGAAGACTATGAAGACCAGCTAGAAGATGGATTGGCTTCATTAAGGAAACCAGAACCTTGCCTCTCTGCAAGAGCTGATCAGGGCTTTCAAGGGCAGGGCATTTTGGAGGGCATTCATTCACAGGGTCACCATAAGTTGGCATGACTTGAAAGAAAAACAAAACCACAAAAGCAAGAAAGCCACTAATAACTGGGCTTAGGTTATAATAGTTCTGCTTAGATTGCACCCAGCAAAAAGTACAGCTGGTCATGAGTAACTTAAGTCTAATTAATTTCAGGGGTCTACTGAAAGTAGCACTAATGTTCCCTTTGAAAGAAAAAAAAATTGCCAGTGGGATACACATCTACTCTCAACACTATTGATCTTGCCCAAGTTCTGTCAAAGAAGGGTATCAAAAGGAACTTTCACACAATTTCTGGAGAGAGGGAAGCTGGCAAGTATGGTCCTGAAAATATGGTATGAGGGGAAATGAAGTTTACCAAAGCCTGGCTGAATAGCTGAACTGAAGTGGAATTTTCTCACACTAAATATGCTAATAGACCTGAAGTGGCCACAAACCAGTGAGCTAGTTCAAGAATGCTCAGAGACCAGCATGCTTTTCTTGTGGCAACAGAGCTCCAGGCTGTGTCGCCAGCTTGAAACTTCCCTGGTTTGACATGCAACTTCTATGTGATCCAGGCACCTCTTATGGCGTGCCAGTCCTACTAGACATGCTCCAAAGGCATGCAGAGTGAGCCTGGCTACACAGCCGTGCCTTAACGATGTCCATTTTTATGTATGCTATAGTTTAGGACAGAATAATGTTTGATGCAACTTGAAGCAAACCAAAACTTATGGGCCAAATTTAGGGGTGCACAACTTTAGGAACGACTTGAACTACTATCCACTTGACCACTGAAACAAACAGTATAAACTGTCCATCTTTGCTGCTGATGCTGGCAATACTGATCCACATGGCATAATCAGCTCCAAATTCTGATGTCATTGCAAATTGATATTTAATCCCACTTGGAAATGAATAAAATCTTTGCTGAACAATTTCCCCAGAAATAACATGACAACTGCCCTATTTCAGGCAAAATGGGGTACCGCAGGGTTCCATTTTGTCCCCTTTACTGTTCAATATCTACATGAAACCGCTGGGAGAGGTCATCAGGAGGTGTGGGCTGCGGACCCATCAGTATGCTGATGATACCCAGCTCTACCTCTCGTTTTCCACCAATCCAGGTGAGGCAGTGGCTGTACTGAACCGGTGCCTGGCCGAGGTAATGGGCTGGATGAGGGCCAATAAACTGAAGCTCAATCCAGACAAGACGGAGGTCCTGTTGGTTGGCGGTTCGGGCTTCAGAGAAGGTGACCTGAACCTTGTCCTGAATGGGGTTGCACTCCCTCCTAGGGACAAGGTCCGCAGCTTGGGAGTGCTCCTCGACCCGGAGCTTTCACTTGAAGCTCAGGTGACAACAGCGGCGAGGAGCGCTTTCCTCCAGCTTCGGCTGATTCATCAGCTGCGCCCCTACCTGGAGTACGACTGCCTTGCAACAGTGACTCATGCGCTGGTGACTTCCCGTCTTGACTTCTGTAACGCGCTCTACGTGGGGCTTCCCTTGAAGACGGTCCGGATACTTCAATTGGTTCAGAATAGAGCTGCCAGGCTGCTGACGGGGACTGGACGTTATGTTCACATGACGCCAGTTCTCCGTCAGCTTCACTGGCTCCCCATTGAAGTCCGGGCCCAATTCAAGGTGTTGGTAATGACCTATAAAGCCCTAAACGGCTTGGGTCCTGGTTACCTGAAGGAGCGCTTACATCCATATTTGCCCAGTCGCCCCCTGAGATCGGCGGGAGAGGCCCTTCTCCGGGAGCCCTCCGTGAGAGAAATTAGGAGGGTGGTTACTCGGAGAAGGGCTTTCTCAGCGGTGGCGCCTAAGTTATGGAATGCGCTCCCCAGAGAGGTCCGCCTGGCGCCGTCGTTATTTGTTTTTCGGCGCCAGGCTAAGACCTTTTTATTTAAGCAACATTTTAAATGCTAAATACAATTGAATTTTATCTGGCCAGGGCGGCTTATTTTATAATGTGAGTTTTAATTAAGATTATTTTATATGGATTTTAACTTGTTTTATCTATGTTGTAAGCCGCCCCGAGGCTTCGGCGAATGGGGCGGCATAAAAATGTTTTAATAAATAAATAAATAAATAAATAAATAAATAAAATTTGCTGGTTCAGAAGCTTTAAACAGAAGAGCTTTCATTGTATATTCTTTTTTCTTCCCTTCTCCCATGCCTCTCAAAGTATACATATACATCTCCAGTCATTTCTTCCCTTCTTTCCCTTTGCACTTAACTAGTAACCTCTCCTGCAATGCTGCCATTTTAGTTCAATCCTCCCTTCTGCTACTTTTACATTTTCTTTCTCCTATAGCCTCCCTTCCACATCCCCTTCCACTTCATCCCTAGTTTCTAAAAAGTGTTATTAAATATTAGCTTTGCTCTCTAACAACCTTCCATTGCTACACCTGCATATACAGCTTGCCTTTTGTCATATTTGCTAGAGACTTGTAAGCATTTTATCCAAATCCATGTATGTGTATCTTTTTAAATCAGGGAAAAAAGAAAAAAGATGTCTATGTTGACAGTTCTTTCATGGGTCCCATTGGAGGTGCTCTTGGACTAGATAGGGAAATCCTGTAAATTTTTTTTAAAGATATGTCTGTGTTATAGAGTTTGTGATTAGAATGAAACATGTGAATGTATCATTTTATATATGATAGAGATAATCATGTATATAAATTGTGCATCTGTGTGGTAAAATGGGCTATATCTGCCCAAAAAAGCAGAAGAAAGTTTGGATCCTGCACTGGAAGAAAAGGACTCCCTTGAGCTTCATTCTCATGGCAGCCCTTCAGGCCTGCTGAAAATTCTGCACAGAAAGGCATCCCTGCCAAATGGGGTGAGTCCGGCATGTGCACGCGGCAAGGGAGGGGAGTGCTCAAACACTGGGCGCGGGAAAATTCTGCCAACGGAAAACCCCCTCCCCTTATTCCTTTATGTGTATGGCCCTCCAGGTGGCTTACACATGAAAAGAAAACTTGATTTAAACAATAACAATTGTGTAAAAATAGACAATGAAACAGATTGCAAGCAGAACAATAACAAAATAGGAGCTACCTCTGACCTAACAAGGATTCTCTTGTGCCAAAGGCCTGTTGGCAGAAAGGCAGTGGGAGGCAGGAGATGAGAGAGAGACTAGCCTCTCTTGACAGGAAGTTCCAGATCCTGAGAGCAGCCATCAAGAACAGGCACAACCAAATGCTCCCCTGAAGGCAGTCTCAAAAGAAGGGTGCTTCTTGTCGCTCATATGCTCTGAAAGCAGTCTTTCAGATAGCCTGGTCACAGGTCATACGGGGCCTTACAACTCCCGAAACCAACCTGAACTAACCTGCTGCACCAGTTGAGAGGGGCAGCAAAGATGTGTCTCACCTGGGAAGTGAGGTGACACCATTTGGCCCAAGGTCTTGCTTATGCCAGTTCTGCATGTTCTAAATATCAATTCTGGTCAATGAAGCCACATTGGAAAGGTATATTGCATGTTGTTGTTATGCTGGTGTAAAGTACAATAAATGTCCTTTGGTTCTCTCTCCCTCTGTGTTGTCATTCTGTCACCTGGCAAAGAAATGAAAATTGTACAGTGTAAGCTCCTTTGCAGGTCAACTGCATTGTCAGTAGGAGGCAAAGGTTGAAACTAGCCATTTAAGTTGAACATGTATATTCAGAAGATAATGTGGCATTTGCAGAAATTCCTCAGTAGTCATATCTTCCAGTTGGTATTATGCAAATAGGATGGTTCAGTCCTGGCAATGCTTGAAATGATTTTCTATGTTAAATGGGATACCAGCAGTTCTTCTCTACATATATTCCAGAAATCAACACAGTACGAGTACAAAATGTTTTAACAAAGTAACATAGAAATCACTCACTGGTTTTCTTACAACATCAATCATCACACAAAACCTGCTGTATTAATCTATATTACTTCATTATTTCAGTTCAAACCTGTTGCACACTCAGAAAACGTTCAGTGATTGTGATCTGGGCAATCTATGCTTGCCTCTTTAATAGTATTAGGAATACATATGCGTGTATGTGGCTGCTGACCAACTTTATTATTATTATTGGCAGAAAGCTTGATGGAAAAGAATTCATCTTTTGTCTGCTACACTGCAATCACACACAAACCACACATGTTCTCCCTCCCTCCCTCCCTCCCTCTGTATGCATGTGAGAGAAGCAAGAGTGCAATCCAATACATGCTTATATATAAAAGGTCTGACTCCCAGCATACTCCTGCCAACAATGGAAGTATGCCTTAGTCTACTAAGGCTGTAGTTCTATTGCTTGAGGATAAGTTCCACTGAACACAAGGATACTTACAACACAGTAGACATGCATATAATTGTGCAATGTTAGACACACACCCAGAAGTAGCCTTACTGGTCCATGTGTGTGAGGGAAAAATCTGCACTAAGGTAATACCAACTCAGAAAACTTGGTATCACAAAAAGTGAGAAAACTTTCTTCAGAACTCTTTTATCAGGAAGGACACTAAACAGAACTAGAAAAGATTACAAGTTGAGGGTGTCATTGCCATCCAAATCTACAATTTATAATGATCTTGAGCTGGAATGCAAAAGGAGTTTTGCAGACAAAGTTTTAGTAGCTGTTCACAGTTTATCATAAGATGCATCTGTGGCTATTGAGAACAGAGCAAATTAGGATGTTTCTCTATTTGGGAAAATAATCTACTAGTTTTACTGTTTTGTCTCAAGTTCTCAATAGTATACACAGGGTCATACGGGAGACAGAGAAGAAAAAGAGTGAAATATCAGTCTGGAAGTGAAGATGGAGATTTATAGGATCCAAGTGACATATTGGTTGGGATCATGGAGACTTCCCCTCTCCCATGCACACATATGTGAAATTTCATCTTCTAGTTTCTGGATCTCTCTCTCATTTTCATGGTGCAATAAAGTATATAATGGCTGCAATCCTGTACACACACATTTGGGCTCAGTGGGACTACTCCTGAGTAGATATATGTAGGATAGCTGTCTACAGCTGAATTACTTAGGGTACAATCCTATGCATGTTTAGATATGTTGGCTGGTGAATACTGGGAGCTGCGGGATTTGTTTCTGCCTAAGCTAATATAGGATTGTGCCCTAAGTTATGGATTTTTAGACCTTGTGAATATCTCCCTTTAACTAGCTTTGCTCTTGAATGCCCAAGATGTACAAACCCTGCTTCCCAGAGCCAAACAAGTGGCTCACTAGCAGACTATGACTCATAAATATTCCTAAGAGATCCATTTTATGGAAGGATTTTTTTCAGGATAAATTCTGATAATTTTTTATTTTTCCTGGACTGTAAATACATTGAATATGTAGGCTAAATTCTAGGATTTTATATCAGTGCTACATTTCCTGTGACCTTCAGCTTTCATGCAAGGCAAGTCAAACTTGAATTTAAATTGCCCTGCTCAGGAACTTAACAGTTATGTATAAAAATAAGTAAGAAGATGGTTATATTTGGTGTAACAACATAAAATAGCTCAGAAGAGCTTAGGCATAGGTGCTATTTCAGCAAAAGCTTTCTTTTTAAAATGCTAACCTGCCATCTGCACTGCATTCAGTCCTACCTTCATTTCCTCCCTAGGACAAGCTGGAAATTGAGTTTATAGTTTATTTTAATATTTCCTGCCATCAAATTACATGGATAAGAAATCTTTTATATTCAAGTCATAATCCCATTTCCAACCAAAAGAAAAAAACTAAAGGATATATGGGCTAGCAGCATAATGCTGTCACACCAGCTGATCTGTGTCTCTGTATTGCAGGCTGCCAAGACTCAGAAATCTTTTAATGTAAACAAGATCCCCCTCCCCCACCACTTTTCCGTAAAATTGTTGGTACATGAACATAGGAACTTATCCATGAAAAAATAAGATACTATCTTTAAGGATGACCAAACTAATTGATTGTGAAGTTGCCATATGGCATGGGTTCTCTCAAAATTCCATTAAGAAATGAAGAACAGCACTGAAACCACAATACCAAAGCAACAACACAAAGATGAGATTTAAAAAAAAAAAACACTGAAACTGGATATTGGTAGCATATATACTTTTGTCACAGATCAGACAAGATTTCATGTGTCTGAAAATGAAACCCAAGAAAGAACTGCCTTAGTTTCTTACATTATATGTATTTTTAGAATGGTGTTGGAGTGGGTGGTTTGCTGTTCATTGAGAATTTGCTATGATATAAGATAAATATTAATACTAAATATACGTAGGGAGCAATCCTAGGCCCAGTAGATTTTCCTAGACTTATATATCAAAGTGGAAGTATAAACCCTACTTCCTGAAGGCCAAAAAGTGTATTTTGGACAAGTACTTCCCAAACATGAGCTAGATTACTATGAATGGGAGATGTGGAGATGTTGCATTTGTATCCTCTCTTAATTTTAGGAAAAGATTAATCAGGCAGGGAAGCACATCCTCACTTGTTCATCTGCCTCTTCACAAACTATGCATGAAAAGGAAAGAATAGAAAAGAAAATTACCTCATGATACATGAATCACATTTGAAATCTCTTTATTTTAACTCAGGTGAGAGATGTTAAACCATTTGTTTTGGGAAAGCAAATATATAAATGACTCACACCTCCAGGATTCCTAAACAGATCACCTTTTAAATGCCTACAAAAAAAGTAATAATGAGAAAATTGCCCAGTCTGGCAAATAAGATGAAGGTTAAGTACATATGAGCATACCCAGCTGCCCCCAGTCAGACACATGCTTGGAGACTGCCATGTATGAAGCAGGCTTGCATGGCAGTGCATTTCCAGCAGCAACTCCTACAGTTCCCTGTGCTCATATATGTCAGATTCTGCAGGTCAGGCAATCACCACTGCAGTTAAAGGTACAAAAGCAAGGCAGAATAGGAATTTGTTATTTGCCCCAATGCCATTAGCTGCTCTATTGCCAAGTCTTGTCCAAGAAACAGCACTGTTTAATTTAACACTGCTGGGGGAAGAAATTGCAACTGTGGTCATGAATGTCAGCCCCATTCATCGCTATTCTCTCCTAAAGAAAGGTGCTACCTTCTAGAAGAAGCCACCTTATACTGAGTCAGCCTCTAAGTCCATCTAGGGCACTACCGTTTGTACAGACTGGTAGCAGCTGTTCAGGATTTTGAGCAGTTTTCTCCTGCTCTACCTGGAGGTGCTGGAAATGGAACTTGGAGCCTTCTGCTTGAAAAGCACGTGCTCTGCCACTAAGCCATGCCTCCTCTCCTATTTCTTTGCCTTCTTGCCTGTCACAACATTGAGACCTACCATCAAAATTCACATTACCTTAACTGTGTGACTTGCAGCTATGATGGTTGTAACATTAAGTTTGCAATTTTCAAAGGGACCGTGGTGGGTAGGAAGGGGAGGTTTAATCCTTCCCCTTTCCCTTGAAATTCTCCCTGGATGCTGTGGTCAGCCGTAGAACAGAAGTGGGGAAATGCTGGCTCTTTAGGTTTTACTCGACTATTGCTTCCAGCACCCCTGACTTTCGGCCATGTTGGCTGGGACTGATGAGAGTTAGAATCCAAAATCCTTTGAAGAACTACAAGAACTTCCTTTAAGTGCAGCACTGTGTATGTATGTGTGTGTGAGAGAGAGAGAGGGAGAGAGAGAGAGAATGAGAGAAATGTTCACTGGGATTATGAGGGGGATGAAAGGATTAAACATCCCTTTGCCATGTGCTTTGGTCCTAATGAAAATTATCTCCATTCCTGCATATGCAATTACTTTGTAAATCCTCTGCACACCACACAATGAATGTAACATGTTGTTTGATCTTTCAGTAACCATCACAGAGCCAGGCTTGAGTACCAGAGGATCACTTAAAAGGATCACTGCAGCACTTAAAAGCAGTGTGTGTGTTTGTCCCTGTGCGCAAAGAATGGATCAGTCACTAGCCAGGGTAAAAGCCAGTGGAGCCATCTATAGAATGAAAGTAGCCAGTGGTGTTAAAGCAAACAAACAAGGTCACTGGATGCTAAGGACGAGAAATGAAGCAACTGAATTGTCAAGACCTCAACCAGGGCTGGCAGCTTGTGGCCACCGTAACAGGCCTGGGCTAGCACATCACAATTCCAACTAATGCAATGAGGTAATCTAGACATGGTTTTCTCAAATGAACAGAATAATGATCTAAGTGTGTATGAGTGGGAGGGCATGAGATTGGCATATATTGCATTGTCATGGTCTTATCACTTCCTAATGAAGGTTAAGCTGTAAGAGATTTTACCCCCTGACAGTGTCAGGGAACCCCCTTCGTCTGCTGCCTCATAAGGAAATTCCAGCTTGAGCAAGGTCATGTGTTCCCAAGATTTGAATAGTTTATGTTGGCTAAATCTAAGGTGGCTAACTCCTTGTCTCAACTCCAAGGTTGCTGTACAAGTTGCTTTCTTATTGCATTCATGCTGTTTTTGATCTGGTGTTTAAACAACATCTACATTTTTTAAAACATATGTATCTCTATGTTTTTATATTTATTGCTCAGAGTACATTATGTTATGGGACAGCATTCAACTATTGTAACCAAATGAAGAAGTGAATAAACCCTGAGGTAGATGGACAGTGGTGTGGCTCAGAGGAAGGCACTTCCTTGCCTGCTGTTGGACCTTTCTATTTCATCTATTTCATTTCTTCCATTCATAGCTTTGGGCTCCCCTTTATGCTTTATGGTGCTCTCCATGCCTGTGAAATGTTAGTTTTCTTCAATTAGTTGTCAACCCAATTCTTCTCTTCAGAGAAATATTTCTTCTGTAAAGTTTTTCAGGACAATGCAGACACGACCATTGCTTCCTAACATAAGGTAACCTTTATGTCACGATTTTTATAGAATCATAGAATAGTAGAGTTGGAAGGGGCCATGAAGGACATCAGTTCAAACCCTCTGCT